TCCCTAATAAATTATATTAATTATGCGTACTGAAAATTTAAGATATACAATATTAAAAATTGTAATGAGAATATTTAATAAGTGGAGCATTCTTCTATTTACTTTGAAATTGTGTCGACTATACTTAAGCTAAAAAACTAAATAATATTAACGACATTTTCTGCAGCATCTTTTAACCAAATGTCTATATCTATAGTAATTTTTCAATAACGATAGTTAGCTACAAATCAAATAATCGTTTACATTTATAAGTCAAACGATCAATACTAATTTTGGTATTAAATGAGAAACCTAAATATATAAAATTCTACAAGAAAATCGCGTTAGTTGAGATTAGTACCTACCTCTTTTTTAAAAATGGAAAAATGGCACAAGAATTTACTTACCATTATTATTTCGATTTTAGATTTACATCTTAAGGATATTTCTTACACCATTTTGTACCTATATGAATACTTATATAATATCATTGATTACAAATACTAGTATTTGTAATCAATGATAATATGTTTAATTATTAATTACTATGTATGCCGTATGGACTATAATATAATTATATTATAATTAATCAATAAAATTAAAAATATTTTGAGATAATAGCACAAACAATAATGAAAATGTGAAAATATTTGCATGGATATATTCTGTTTAGTACTTATACCTATGATATATTTTTAGTTTCTATACATCCCCCTTTATTCATTTTAAACATAATGGAAAGTCTTATAGGTACATGGGTTGTGTTTTGTTATGAAAAAAAAAACATTTTTCTGATTTTTCAGAAAGGTTACTTTAAAATGTTCTTATTAGGTCCTTATAATATCATGTATTTTAAAAATAATTAGTGTATCTTTTTTCGATTCCTTCCGTCATTGGAGATGTTTTTGCATGCACAAAACAACAAATAATGTAATAAATAATAACATTATTATCATTATTGTGGTAGACAATTTTGTTACGCTCGGACTTGCGTGGAGGAAATATGTACTCGACTGCCGTTAATAACATTTAAATTCACTTACGACTGCGTTCTCATTGTTTCGTTAGTAATAATAATAATAATAATAATAATAGTTGTATACCATCCGAACAATAGCTCTTGGGCACACGCTGCGCAATATTATTACCTGCAACGTACTTGTATATGCATATACACACTACCTACGTATTAAGTTTAAGACTTAAGGTTTAAATTTAGAAAAAAAAATTGAATTGCTTTTGATTTTGTGACACGTGCAATCACATTATAAATTATCTGTTTTGTAACAATGTGACGAAAAATGAGAATTTATTTTTTTCAATGTAGGTACTTACTTACATAATAACGGATATAATATATTAATACTATGGTAAGATTGCTTTTAAAGCAAAACTTGTTACAACAAAAAAAAACGATATTATATTACACTGATTCTGAGACCGAGTGGTTAGTAATCTTTTTGACTAGAACAACATAACAATAATTATTAAATAATTGATAAATTCCATGCCTATATGCGTGATAAACAGATACGACTATTTATTTGAATATTATAAAGGCATGGCCCAATCTCAAAAATTAGTAAAATCAATAATAAGTTTAGAAATTATTAATGTGGTGCATCTTATAATAATAAACATATTATAATTATTTCATTCAATCATATAATATTATTTTTTACTATTTGATATATATATACAAAAAAGTTAACCGTTTAGTACCTTTATAGTCTCATAATATTAATTTATAAGACGACCATTATATTTCTAATTATTTTAAATGGTTACAAATAAATAAATGTATCAACATTTTCAAGGTAGTTTTATGACTGATGTAATGCGATCGTACTACAGTAAAATCCGATTTTTTACATTACGATGCCGTAACGAAATTCCAGATAAAACGATTCCCAGCCATGACTTGTGGTTGGTTTTATATCTCAGTATGTTTTTGTCATCCGGATATAACGAAATTCGGATATAATGATCTGATTCTTTGGGTCCCTTGAACATCGCCAAAAGCGGATTCTACTGTAGTTATATAATTATATTATATTATACAATTTACTTTTTAATATAATATGATTTATATATATATAAAATTACATATATTATATTATTATACTACGTACCTAAGCGATTAGGCCGTAATAATATAATATTACTTACTCCACTCATTAATAAGCTGCAGTTATGTATACTATATACAGATAACGGTAAAAACGCATAATATAAAACTATTTAAAAGATCCAGATCGTCACGGTAAAATGTGTTTTATGATGTTGTCTTCTTTGATTACACGCCGCAAGGAAATAACCGTGTTTACATTCTATTCTACTTTCAAAATATTATTAGAGTTTTGATTCCAAGATAAATATTATTGTACCATTCGCCCGAACATCATAAATATTTCTCCAAAATATGTGTATTTTATATTTTTACTATACCTATACCGACTTTAAATAACTCGCGTTCATGATAGTTTTACGTTTTTAACGTTTTTATTGGACCACATTTTTTCCATCTATTATACAGTTATACTCGATATGGACCAAAAACAAATCCTCGCTTTTAAGTTAATGCACGGAACGATAAATATATGGTAATATAACACGGTATATTATTATAGTCTGCTTTTGATAATAATATTATAGTATTATACTAATACCTACATGTGATATTATAATATTATTTTATAACAACTAATAAATATAATGATTAACATTTATAGATGTAAGTAAACTGACTCGCTATAAAACATAATTTGTATCGTTTGTTGAGCGCGTCTAGCAGCATATATTATGACGGATGTTATTTAACTCTGTGGCGAGCAACTTTATGCCACGCAACGTAGTACTTAAATCATAAACTACGATGAGATAATATCACATCGTTTGTTGAAAACGTTTAAAATGGTCTAAAACATATTATATTGGTATAGGCGATAATTTCAGATTTGATATAGGTAATTGTAATATGATTGTAGTATACTGAGAAATTACAATATATTGTATAATATATTTGTATTAAAAATAATTCAAGTGACTATGGACTTAGGGTATCATAATTTTTATATCAGCTTACATGTTATAATATGTTGTGTGTATATAAAATATAATTGTATAATAGTTAATTAATGTTATTCAATAGACAATAGTTGTATAATGTATACCCGATTTTAATATTTATGGTTGGTTACTTCAGTTACTTGGTTGGTTTAAGTGTTAAACATCTGATATTAAAATCTGACCAGTGTGTTGAGAGTGAACACTGATCATTATTAATTATTATAGTAAATTAGTAATGAAAATGTGAACTTTGAAGTAATTCATACTTGATTTAAATCCGGATATCCAGATAGTTCACATCCTTTGTATTGTTCTATACGACTGTGGTGAGAATATAATATTTCACAGATAGTATGCCTTATGTGAAAAATATTTAATGAAAACCATAAATTACTACAAAAAAAACAGTAACAATAATACAGTAATATAAGTATATAACGATGATGTTATCGTTCTATATAAATATCAGGATGTACGCTTTGCAGACATTTTGATTTTGAGTGGTTATTAAGATGACTAGCCACACGATTACACACTTTTTGGCGCCGAGATCTTTATTCATCGCAGTGGCGCCAGAATTGGTGTACTTACCTACTTACTGTTGTAAATGTGTGGAATACTGGAATGTACCACTGTAAAACATTTTGAAATTGTGTTTTATATTGTTATAGAGTACGATAAAGTAAATTGGTATACTCTATTAGTACCTATTAGAGAAATCGTGTATAACATTTTTCAAAAAGCTAATAATAATGACGCTTTTATCATTTTTATTATTATTTTCTCGTATCGTTTAAATTCTTAAAGTTTACCATTTTCTCATTAGTATAAATTATTATAAGCCTCGGCTGCTGAACGGAGTACGGTTAAAATTGCTTAAACTTCCTCATTCTTTTAAAGTTTTAGCACTTTTTTGTAGTTTTTCATTAAGTATTATACGGTATATAGGAAACTACAATATAGCGGTTACCGGTTAGATACTTAAATATAACCACTAAAAACTAAGTTCAATTTCCTATCAATAAATTATAGACATATAAGTATATATTGTTAAATTGCTCTACTTGAGAGTTTTAAAAAATTCTATTTGCATATACAACTATAAACGAAATAGTATATTGTGTGGCAAGGGCGGGAAGTGAGCTATTTCAGTCGCGGGCGACGTGTAATATAAGTCGCCAAATTTCGTAACCAAATAAATGAGCCAAATTCCAAGGAAGAACGTACAAGAGAACAATGCACATTTTTCAATCAAAATACATTTTTAAACTGTTGCGTATTTCTAATAATGAAACCAATCATCTTGTATGATTTATTTAATACTGTCTTATGATTAATTTTCAATGACAGATCATGTCGATCTTGCCTATATGCGCATAACCTAGTTTGTACGAATCGTGTTTTCTTTTTGACTTTAGTTAGTCGGATTAAAATATGCCTAATATAATACCAAACGATGTATACCTAGGTAATTCTCACGTCACGTTAAGGACGAACGGTCGTGGAAATTTCTAGAACTAAACGCGAAAGACCGACTGTGTGGTTGCAATAATAGTAGGTATAGATGCAGTCGAGAGCAACAACAACAACAACAATAATAATAATAATAATAATAATAACTATTCTTATTAAAAACAAACGTCTGCGGCGGCGGCGGCGGCGGCGGTGATGTTTACAAAAGTGGTGGTGGCGGTCGCAGAGGCCGTGGCCGCCTCGTCGGCGGGTGAGGTGGGGGTAGGATGTGAATGTCTATAAAGCCGATCTGGAACGCGGCCGTGCTCAGCAGAGTGTACTCGAACGGCGACCCGCGTGCGATTCTATAGCCCGAAATATTATTACATCGAGCAGAGATCCTCAGCACTCCGGACCTTCGACATCTACCGTGGTTTATAACTTGTCTGCGCGAGTGTTGCGCGTGAACGTCACAGCAAGATACGAAACGTTACGATAACATGTCGGCCAAGACGATGTTCTACGCGTTTGCCGTCGTAGCATTGGCCGCGGTCTGGTCGGCCGCGGCTCTGCCACTGGTCGTCGACGATGTCACGTCACCCGGTAAGTGGTCATCATCGTGCGGCGTTTGCACTTACAATTTTTTCGCAACGACATTTTTTTCACTGTACGCCATGCCGCCGCGGGAACGAAACGTTTCGCGGGTGGTCACGGCCGGTGACCACGGGCGTGACCGTAGTATGATTTAACAGTTGCGCAGGGGCTAGAGTGTCCTAGACTAGACTAAGTTTCAAATAAGTCGCGGGAGAGGGGGCGCGGGGCTACACAGACCTCGCCAAGAGCGTGACTTGAGTTAAAAATATGATTTATATATTTTATTCTGAAACTGTAGGTGTACGACTATATTTATGATAATATGTAAATGTTTATTCGATATATATATTTTATGTGTATTAATTATTTTGCACGTTGAACCCACTGTAATTTTTTTTTATTTAAGGATATTTTAGCCAGGAAGAGTTAAAAACGAATTTGGGGGCTAAGCCTCCCCCCATACAGTTACGCCACATGTTCATTGCTATAATATCAATGATTCTTTATTAACGGAATAAATTCCAATGAATTACCTACGCACTTTCAATGAAATATAGTGACTGTAGAGTAATGCAAATCTACATGTTACGGGCTTGCAAATACTACATTTTATATAAATCGTAGTTGTGGACTTTGAGAGGACTAGATTTCCGACGGTTCCTCTAGGAAAAGGAAAATAAAAAACGGTTTGCCATCGATTATTGTTATTATCGTCGTTGTCGACGTCGACCTTTGATGGAGTTTTTCCCATTAGGGACGCTCGAGCGTGACGAGGTTATAATAATAATAATCAACATATAGACAGTATTATTATATTTAGGTATATAGTCTCAGCCACGTTGCCAGCTAACGCGAAATAATTAATCTGTGAATTCCACAATAATTATTAGTCAGAGTGAAATATCCAAGTGCTAGAAAATTATTAATTTCAATATTGTTATACTATCATATATTACATCAAAATAAAATTTTGTAAAATCTGATTTTTATCTTCCATAAATACTCGTTATTTTTATGAAAATTTGATTTTATACGGTATAAAATTTTAAATAGTCTTTTCATAAATCATAACACAGTGTCTATATTATAATAATATAGCATGCTACGGTATGAATGTGGACTTATTATATATATGTGGGGCAGTGAACAGTACATAGTACATACACCATGTAAATTATACATAATGTGTATTTCATGTTATTTTAAAACAAACCCAAATGATTTTAAAAACAAATAGTTCTTCTATTTCCTATCAGGAAACCGAGCACAAGTCCCGGCTAAAAGGTCAGCCATAATAATCCTCTATACCTTCCTATATAGGCACTTTTTAGCTTAGATACAAAGTATGACAATTGTGTACAGTATTCAATAATACGTTTTTAAGATAACAATACATATCAAAATTATTCATCTTCCTCCATTTGCATATTTTGTTACAAATTTATCGAAATCCATTAATAATTCAATATTAAAGCATAATTATTTTGTAAAAATATTTCGGACAACACGCGTGGCTGATAACTCTTCGCACCTACCACATCAGTTGGAATTATTACAGAATAAAATAATATTTATTCTGAGGAATAAAGATAGCAATAATAATTATTCGGATTTCGGTTCTACGATATTATATGGCACACACAACGTAATAACAACGGAAACGATTTTCGTCCGGGGCAAAACAAGATGGCCGTGTTTTCTTTTACGATGTCCTCTTTTTTTTCTTAAAAATCGTATAGAATATTATTATTATTATCATCCATTCCGTGTCGAGCGTACCTACTATTGTAATTATAATATTTTTTTAACAATATATATTATTATTATTTATTATTATACGCGTTACGGAAGACACGAAAAGGAATTTCACTCTGAACGCATAATGTGTGGCCGTGGTGTTACGTTAACAAGTATAACATAATATATTTAAATTTATTATTATAATTATTATTCGTCTAACGGGACTTTTAACGTTTTGTAGGTTTATTAATATTTATAACGTCACAATAATGCCTACAACGCGGAGACCACTGCAGGAGGGATAATAATATGTGATTATTACGATTAATATACGACGTAATAATAGATTTATCGTCTTCTATATTATTATACTATGCGTACTATATAACATTATAATCTGTATATGTATTATACGCAGATTATACATTAGTTGGTCTTCTTCCCGGTGGACTTGTTTCAGAACGAGTCCGGTCTACAATATATTAATGTCTGATGACAATGATAATAGTATAATAATAATATATACCTTTATACATAAATTCATTTTCCGGATACTTGTTTGTATATAGGTATATGTATACGTGTTTTGGAAAACGTTTCAAATATAATAATCCCTCTATGTGTGCGTAAGATAACACAAGAACGGAAGGGAACATTATAATAATATAATGTCCATCAAACCCGTAGGGGACCTATTCACTTCTATGATTTTCCATTGAGTTGAGAAAAAAAGTCAGAACATTTGTTTTCGAGTAGGTACCTAAGTACCTCGGCCATATATGTATTGTATGACGATATTATACTATTATAATCGGTTATAGATTATCTCTATGGCTGGCTATAAATAAAATATCGTAAAGTCTTCACGAGATAATAGAAAAAATTTTGCGCCAGGCGAAGTGTGTGCGAACAAAATATATTTCTCTTTAAAAATGTCCGCAAATGTCAGCTTCGTTATTGTAGTGTTTTACTGTTTTAGTTAAAATTATTATTAAACTAGTGAAATACTCGTCGTTCGACGATGCGTACGACCTCGAGCTTGTGACAGCACAACCTACCCGTCTATAATATTATACTATAATATATGTAGGTACATTTATGTAAGATTTGAACGAATCGAATCAGCGGACCGTGATTTTTTTGAACGCGTAGATATAAATTTATAATCTTGTAAGTTGGGTAGGCACTCCACTAGCCGCGTTTTGTAAAATAAATAACGGGAAAAAAAGTTTGTTACCAACCGAGAGTCGAGCGCGCCGTTTAATACGCGACATCGGATTTAATCAATTTAATGGCATTTTGCCCGAACCCACACACACACACACACACACAGAAAGAAAGGTAGAAATTAAACACGGTTAAATTAAAAGAGATTATATGATGTATTTTATATATTTTGTAAGCGACTCGAAACGGGCGTGTGCCCCACACGATGGTGGTCTACGGTTTTTGAAACACGCTTTCATTTTCGGTAGGTAGCTACCGAATTGATATTATGTGTACAATACAAAGTACCTACATAATATTATATTCGCCATTACATGATTGTACATATCGTACCATGGCTATGCTATACAGGGTGGTTGCTTGTTTAGTAACCATCATACGGGACATTTTCTCGGCAAAAGTATGCGATAGGATTTTAGTTACAATATTAGCATTTGCACTTTAAACTATCGGAGTGATCGACGTGGTGAACTTTTTCAGAGGCTATAGTCTATAATATTCCACCGTCCCACGCACCTATCAAACCCGCATAATTATTGGTACCCGCGTATTATAAGCCGTTTACTGTCGCATTTTTTAACCGCCTTTCGTCGTAGTTAAAACACTACGGTCATCACTAAATTATTACTCATTGGCCGTTAAAAACCGGTAAAAATGTCGGCACGAAGTTCGGAGCAGAAATACAGAATAGGATTCCGCGAGATTTATCATTAAAACTGTCTCTTTACTGTTTGGGCTCACATAATTCTATACGACTTAAACCCGTCAACATAAGAGCCACGCTATGACGCGTTATAGACATCCATAACAATATATATATATATATAACATTATTAGCTCCGCTCGGAATTGAAATTGTTTGCGAATTATTCAAACGGTAGAAAGACTTCGTCATATACAGTACCTATACCTACGACGATAACGTCATAATAATAATGGACCGTACGTCCGGTAAGCGACGCGGTAACCGACACGGCGCGTTACGGAGTCTTTGGTTCGTGAAGGATGCTGTGTACTCGCGGTGGGTTATGATCGTTACTATACCACGGTTGAGACGTAATCCGTCGGCGGCGAAGTTTCGATATTCACGATAATAATATAATATTATTTAAACTCGCGCGCGATCTGTGCATAATGTCTATACGATGTAAAATATATAATTGTAATATATTAATATATCATAAATTATTGTAATACGCATCGCACGCACGAGAGTGGTAACAATGTGGTATGCATATTATACCGATGCCTTAAAATGTCACGTACCCATATAATTGTTCTTAATGTAGATACGATAAGATGATAATATTATTATAATACGATACGATTATATATTCGGACGTATAATACGAGATAACGCCATCGAAAATTCACCGCGCGAAAAAATTATAATATAATAATAATATTGTCTACAATCATTTCCCAAGAGGTGTATTTTAATAATATCACTATAATATGTGATTATCACCTATCGTGCTATTATATTACTGTATTATTATCAACACAACGCGTGACATCCACCTGTTCGTTTGCATGGCGCCGTGGTACTTATTTTTATTATATTAATTCACTGATACGAACAATGTTTTGTTTTCACGTTTTTCTGATATATTTGTGGATGAATTAAGCACCTTACTCGTATGGACAAATTGAATTTCGAAAAATTTACCGATGCTAGTGACATATACATATTTAGGTATAAATAAAGATGTACATTACATTATAATTCTGTGGACACGAGTTGGCTCATTCAATGCTGAGCAAGTTATTTACTTGGTGTATTGTCTCGAGTAAAGTTAGTAAAGTAAACTAAGTTAGTAAGTTACACGTACATTTTTAATATTGATGAAAATGGTATCATTGCATCAAGTTTTTTCACTATTAATTTAAACGAAAATTAATGTTTACTAGCTTAATATTAACTATTATAATATAACTGTTTTTCAAACTATGTGTATTTTTCTTCGGTAGGTAGACATATCATAGACATCGCACCTACATATTATATTACTGGTAATACAAATAGTTGCAAATATAAAAAT